TGCATGTACATAGTTTTGACATTACTGTTGTCTCCCCCCCCCTCTCTCTCACTCTGTCTCTCACCCCCCCTCTCTCTCCCTCCCCCTCTCTCTTCATCCTCTCTCCCTCCTCTCTCTCTCCCTCTCTCCCCCCTCTCTCTTCTAAAGGAGAGATTAGGCACATCAGTTAGAAGTGCACTCAATGAGCAGCTGAATAAGATACAATGGAAGCACACGATGGAACTAGAACTGATTGATGATGTTAGGTAGGTATGTACACACACAAACTTGCAGAATGTACAAGCTCAAGTATTGATATGTACAAGCACAAGTATTGATATGTACAGTACCAGTATTGATATGTACAGTACCAGTATTGATATGTACAGTACCAGTATTGATATGTACAAGCACAAGTATTGATATGTACATTGTACATTTGTGTTTACAAGGACATGTACATGTACATACCAGTCGTGGTACACGAGACATGTACTCTGTACTTTCATGTAAATGTGCATAATACATGCATATCACATGCATGATACATGCATGTCACATGCATGTCACATGTATGCCACATGTTATACTGATTATGTGTAATAGTGCATTGCTGTATGTTATATTCCAATGGTGTTGCACTGGTCCATTGTGTTGTGTTATATTGATATTATGGGAGATGCTAATCGTCTCGTTTGTTAGGAGTTTCCTAAAACAGAGGTCTCAAATTGAAAAGGACTATTCTCAAGTGAGTAACAATAATAATACAATATCAATACTCAACACTATTACTGTACATTATACAATAATTACTGTACATGTATGTTACATTTTTAGGCTATACAGAAGCTTGTGTCTCAGTTTTCTTCAAAGCGTGATTTTAAAGCCCCACCAACCGTACCTAACTTTGATCGACTAGAAAACAGGTATGTGTAGTTATGTAATTTTACTAATAATAGCACTTTATTTACTACTACTACCGTTACTATTCATAGAACATTGTCACTATTATAGAAGCAATGCTTCTATAAATAGGACTAACTTCATTATTAATTAATAATTAGATGCTGTTACTATTAATAGAAGCACTATTCCTATTTATAGTATCTTGTTATCATCCTTTAGAGGTATATTAGAAATGTGGAAGTCCTTGCTTGATAAAACTGACGAAATGGGAAAGAGAAAAGGTAACGTGGGTGACCTGCTTTGTGGGAGCCTCAGCGAAGAACTTAAAAAGCTCAAGAGGGTTAAGGAACAAAATTTCAAGAGACAAGCAGAAATATTCCAATTAATGATCAGCGAAGTCTTGGAGAGTGTTAAAGAGCTTACCAATGTGAGCAAGGATTTGATTTGAGGGAGGGCGGATTTTGTTTTTAAAATTTAAAGTATCGTTTGTTGATTTTAAATTTTGTGCTGTTCATGTACATGTAGGCTAAGAAGCTGTATCACGAGAAATGGAAAATGTGCGAAGATTCGAGACAGAAATATCGTGATGTGGATGACAGGTGGGGGAGAGAGAGAGAGAACGCTACATGTACAGTACATGTATTACAACATGTATTACGATTTTTTTCTAATAAAGGCTACGCAGCTGCAACTTAAAGATGTTTGAATCAAAGTCAACTCTTGAGAAAACGCACAAAAAAGTAAAGACACATACCAAGAACAACCAAACTCCATTATAATCCTCTTTATTTTGCACTATTTCATTTCTTTCCCTCTCTTTTTTCAGAACACTGATAAGTTGAAGCAGGCGCAAAAACAGCTAGTTGTACAGCGGAATGAGTATTTATTGACGGTAGCAGAAACTAACACTCACCTTGACAAGCACTTCGAAACTGACCTCACAGAAATGCTTAAGGTATATTATACGTGAAGGATGTATTTAAAATTTGAAGACAATTTTTTTCTCTTTTTCAAGATTGTTGATGGTGAGTTGTATGATATAATGAGAAACTCGTACACACTTTTCGCTCAAATTGAAATGGACAGCTGCAACGCCATTAGGGCGGAGTTTGAAGACCTCAGGGAACAAGTAGCACTCGTAAGAAAGAGGGAGGGGCAATGGACGTAGCTCAA